GCCAGCGATTCAGTGGCAACCAGCGAAGAGGCGGCGCGAATTGTCACCTGAATGGGCTGCAGTGGAATGCCAAAATGCGAACACCAACTCGGTAGGAGAAGCTTGTGACGGTAAGCTCTTGCGTCGGTTTGGCCACGGCATTACTTTCTTCCTTCAGTCGCATGACCTGTGCCAACAACAGACTGCGTGGAAGACATTGGCCCCCTGTCAACCAAGGACTCCATTTTGGATTACCTCGGCGGATATGTGGCCAAGAAGTTTTCTACGTTAGATTGCTTAGCCTGCGTCGAAACAATGTTGAGTGCAACGCGTCAGAAATCTGCCTTGATCCAAATGAAATCGAGGGGCTATCTGAAAGTGCCTAGCAGCCGTCTTCTTGCTCTCCTGAAAATTGTTGAGGAGCATGTAGAGACGTACACGGTGCAAAAAATTGCATGCGGCGACGTGTTTGCAAGGATTGTTGAGAGCATTTTGCTCGACAGCCGCACAGCGTCAGCAAGTGTAGGTTGTGTGTTGCACTTTTTAGGGACAACAGCTGAGGTCACCCACTTCTTTTTGAGATGTAGGTTACATTTCTTCACGCGAGAAAAAAACAAAGCCTCGCGGGCAACTATGCGCGGTTCATGCCCGGCAAGTGGGGGGTGGAAGCCTCTGTGTTGAGCATACTGGCTGTGTATGTTCTCGGGCTGCAGCGTGGGCTGCTTCGTTTCCCGCCATTCCTTGATGCCCCAGTATCCAGGTGACGTAGGACAGAAAGCAGGACGTGAGGGGATAGAAAGCAAAAAAACTTGACTGGGTCCCACCCCCCTCCCCTTACAGGGGACTGAGTGTGTAACATTACTGAACACAGCTATAATAGTTTCTAGTGCTCCTCTTCTCCAAGGTGTTGTTCTCTGTGTATTTTGTGTAAATAAAACATGTTTTCGAACTTGCTCCTCATTAAATGCACCTGATGGGAAGCTACCATTCATAAGTACACATCTAAATACTAAGTGGCGTACCATTAGTACCAAATTTCTGATTTATTGCATGCTTTGAATCGTAACCCTTGCCCTCCCTCCCCCAAGCATAAAAAAGTATGGTATGGTACCTAGATAGTGTGGCAAAGGTCGCCGAGCATCTAGCACTGGCATCGAAAGGAACTCCTGGATCAGGCTGCTGTACTTTCCTTCCCGAAGAAATTGTGGGTTGTCGGCCAGTAATTAATGCTGCTCTAAACAGTTAACATAAGGACACGTCAAGAGACAGGTGTCTCGACTAAATTGCGTGTAAAAAAGGGGTCACTCTGATGTTAGGCACGTGAAACTCGTGCCTATTCAAGCAGCACCCTTAATACTGAAGCAAGCGGTCGCAAAAGCGCTGAGCTGCTATAACCGCGACATCGAAAGTACCTGCGTCAAGAAAGCTATCGGCGCTCACAAACGTGTGTGCAGAACAACTGCACATTTGGGTGCAGACTCAATTGAAAGGTCTAGAATAAAAACATCTAACGCGACCATTCCTTTCATTCGATTACTTGGGTAGCAGCGTGCGAGAGACGAGCCGGATATAAACCAATGCGATTGCCCCTGTCTTACCTAGTCGTGTTTCATTCCGTTCACCTTCCTCCCCATATTTGCGGCACTGCCAGAATAGAAAGCTTTACTACCGCATAAACAGCATCGCCCTTTGGCCAGGCGCAAACACATTGTCGAGCAGATCCAGCAGTAGCTGCTCGCATCAAGAGCACGGAGCATGAGCATCATCTTTAGGTACTGGCGAGCAACGACGTAAAGCTTCGAGGCATGTAGGTATGCATGTAATTGGGCTATGAGGTAATTCTTAACACAATGCGTTATCGCGCGGCGTTGAAACACTTTGAAGGCGCTGCTATATATAAGGTTGCTCCGCACTCCCAAGCAAACTACGCGTGCGTTCTTAAGTAAACAGCTTTCATTCGTCGTCGACACTGGATCGCGTTTTTACTGATCTAATGGCACTGCTGCATTCAGTGATGTTTAATAAAAGGTAACAGGAAGAACAGCACGCACATAATCTTGCTAAATGTCGGCAATAGTGAGCATATAATCCCAGCACTGGCGGCGGCTTGTGGCCCCCTTACGGCTGGTGGCGCTGCTAGCGGGAGAGTTTGTCCCTTTATCAACCTTTGGGTGCAGTTTCGTGACCAGAAAGCATTGAAGGACTCTGGCGTCAGCTACAAGCCTGGCCGTTTGCACAAGGATGCAGGCTGTCTTTCTCGTCATCCGGTGGATTGTTCTGATCTTGTTGTGCGTGACCTAAAAGCAGCGTAATGGCGTTTACTGACAGTGATATAAGCGTTGAATAACAACAGGGTGAGCCAGTGCGCACTATCATCGACGGCATCCAGTCTGACAGCCATGACGCTAAATCTCTTATGTTTGTGCTGCATGACGGCATCCTCTACCTGCCGCAACGTCAGCACTGAAGGCCCTGAGCCTATACTTGTCATTCCTCGTTATCTACGGCCTGCCATACTTGAACAACTTCACGACACACCAACAGCGGGACTCCTCGGCGTTACCCGCACATACGACTGTGTGCGACGTTGGTTCTTCTGGCCTGGACTGTACAGCAGCATGCGTCATGTCATCCCAGTGCCGGAAAAGGCCTTCTTTATGCCAGCTGAATATCTTCACCCAATTGAAGTACCCTTTAAACCATTCATCGCGTGGGAGTCGACCTTCTTTGCCCTTTTCCGGCGACGACACTAGGAAATAAATGGATCACCGTCGCCACATATTATGCGACCCGTTACACGATAACAAAGGCCATGCCTACCAGTTGGGCCACTGACGTCACGCATTTTCTTCTTCATGTCCTTATTTTACACCACGGTGTACCCCGACAGCGGCTTACGGACCTTGGCTGCTCTTACTTATTCAGAGTTGTCAACAACCTCCTTCGATCGTGTGCCACAGCGCACAAGCTATTTACCTTCTACCACCCACGAACTAATGGCCTAACTGAGCGTCTCAACCACACGCTCACAGAGATGCTTTCGATGTACGTCTCCCCAAGATCATCGAGACTGGGACACCATGTTGGCCTATGTGACTTTCGCATATAATTCCTCTCGACATGACACTACAGGATTTTCGCCTTTTTATCTTTTGTATGGTCGTGACCCCGTATTGCCATTCGAAACCACTTTGTCTCTCGTGCCATCTGCTTCCGTGTACGCTCGCGAAGCCATTGATCAGGCTCACATGGCTCGTCAAGTTGCTCAGTCTCGTCTCGCCATGTCACAAAATATGCAAAAAGCCCGCTGCGACCACCGGCATCGTAATATAACGTTTGCCTCAGGTGACCACGAGCTCCTCTGGTCACCGTGTCACCATGTAGGTCTCTTCGAAAAACTTTTTTCCTCATACCTACCTAGTCTTACATCAAGTTAGCAACGTGAACTATGAGATAGCGCCATTGCACTCCGATACATCACCAAGTTCGTCACTTGTTGACATTGTCCATGTTTCGTGCATGAAACCCTACTTCTCTTCCACTTTTCCGAACTCGCGCCGAGACGGCGCTCCAACGCCCGGGGGGTCCTGTGACGGAGATGAAGTATAAAAGAAGACGAAGGGCAGAAAGAGCTGACAGGTGCGCGAGTGTGCCAATCAGCCATTGTGACTCTTGCCTGTGGTTTTCCTCTGTAAGTACATCTCGTACAGAAGTCACCAACCTCGTAACAATATTTAGGTTATCTTTATCGCTAGCTGCTGCTGTACTGGATGTTGCTGTGCTTGAAAATGGCAGGTTGTCTTCTCTTGGAGAGTCAGGTGAGGACAATCGACACCTTTTAGCTGCTGGTTTTGTTCTCGCTGACCGGGATCACGGCTTTGGCTTGCTCATGTACGACGACAATCTTTCGAATAGGGAAGGAACGGCGCTGGCACGCAAGTTCGCCTTTCCGCGTTGCAACAGCACACTTCTGTTCGCGGTATCACACGTTTTCATTTCTCTCTATTGTCGCCGTCTCTCGGTAAACAGAACGGCACCTTTTCGCTCACGCTTTTGTAACCGGAGCAGCAACCAGGCACGCAGCAGATCTTGGGCATCGTCGTTTAATCCATGTCTTTGCACACAATTCGCACAGTCGTGAGTCGCGTAAATTTAGAAAAACAACGAAAACTGATCACCGATGCCGCCCGATTCCTCAGGCCTATAGCTCTCTCTACGCAGTAAAGCTATCTTGAAAGCCCCAACGCGCACCTGGCGTTACTGCGCGGACAGTGGGGGTGAAGCAGCAAGGTCTCCCCATAGCACTAAGGGGGAATTTAGTGATCAGAAAAGCATTGACGTACTCTGGTATAAGTGAAAGCTCATTACTCCAGAATAGATATGTTTTTTAATATGATTTTTTTCTCATCATAAGAGCTTGGAAATTATTATTTCGAGCATGTGGTTTAGTGAACTGCTCATACGAAATGCAAAGGCAAGAAGCGAGGTGGCAATTTCCAGGGGACTCTAGACAATGAGCACGTTTTAGATTTTAGTAGTCACCTTGTGCTCTTTAAAAGTGATTTTGACCTACTTCGAGTTTAATTGCTATATTCAGTTTTTTTTTTTGTTGGGAAAGTAGGAAAGTTATACTTGACAATGGAAATAAAAATGAAAAATGTGTAGTTTTGGAAAAAGTTGTCTTTTTCAGCTTGAAGTCCTCTTATTTAGGATGAATTACTATTATGGTGTTATTTTACTGTCATGGAATATTGCAAGTAATATAACGATTTTATGCATTTACAGACAGTTCTTCATAAGGCTAAAAAGCCAAGTCTAACATTGTATTCACAAGTGCACTTGTAAATTGACACCATGGCTTCACCTGTACACCTCACATTATTATAATGATTGACAGGGACATTAACATTGACTCGTACTTGACCAAGTCAAGTCATGGATGAACATAGGAATAGATAAGTCTCTTAGTGTCCTGTTGGCACTATCTACCAGTTCTTGATTCAAGTTGAATGCCTGTGCAGTACCCACACCTGCTCAAGGGGAGCAGCAGTGGTGCCAACCAGTTGCTTGTGACGCTACAGCGGCGCAAGCGATACAAGAACCGCGCCATGCTCGGCTACAAGACTATCGCCACGGGTGCCATCAACATGTCGGAGGTAACAAGAATGAAGGGCATTGAAGGGAGCTTTTATTTTCATGATGGCCATGCTGAATTGGCTGTGACCTGAGCATGGTCACACTGATTTTCCTTGTCGATAACTTCAGTTGATTCAGGTTGGCTCCTAGCATAATGCTGCTTTTCAGTTAGATTGTACAAAGCTTCACACTCTTTGATGAACGCATCAGCGACTTCGTTTTGTGTGGGGCCTGTCAAATAATGTGCATGACAAAGCAGTGTATCAATCAGTGCACAAGGAGAACAAACGCATGTCTGTTTAATATTTGGTTTGTTTTGGGTGTGCTTGCTTTTTTTTGACACAAAAAAAATACAGCCAAGGAAATTTGAGCATGGTATAAAAGCTTGATTCCGTGGTTTCTTCAGGCAGCCTGAAGCTTCACATGAATATCTTACTGATTCAAGCAAGAATGAAAAAGCTGTTCAATTATAGGTGATGACCTATTCGTAACAACTGTGGCTAAAACATGGAGATTAACAAAACAAATAGATTAAAGTTGAGGGCCACGCAACGGCAATGAAATGTAGAATGACAGGATTAACGTTGAGAGATCGGAGGACGGATCATGGGTAAGAGAGAAGTTGCAGATATCCTAGCTTACATCAAGTGAAAAAAACTAACATTGGCTGGCCACGTATTGCGTAGGACAGACAACCGGTGGACAATATTGGCAGATAGCTGTTGACCCATAAGATCGAGGAAAAAACACATTTGTAACCCCCTGATGAGTTATAGTAATTTAATGTCATGTTGTTTCGCCTTTTGAATGCACAGATCACGTTTGAACGAATGATGGATTCCCTTCTACGCGGCTTCAAGTGGTCTACTTGCTTGTCACTTAGATGATATCCTATTTTCACTGACATTTGCATGCCATCTGAGCGACTCTCCAGTATTCTCGGGGCATTTCACAACGCTGGTCTACAGCTGAACCCCTCCAAATGCCGTTGCAACAGTTGCGAAATAACTGTGCTTGCTCATCTTGTTTACGCTGCTGGTGTCCTGGCAAATCCAAAAAGAACTCGCTAGTGACACAATTTCTGTACCCTCATCTGCCAAATGTCTTCGAAGCTTTCTTAATATGTGCTCCTTGATCCAGAATTTCGCCAGCATTGGGCATGCTCTCATGAAGCTCAAAAAAGAGGTTCGCTTCACTTGGGATTCTGTGCGAAGTGCTGAATTTGCGGTGCTCATTGCTGCCCTCATAACTTCGTCAGTATTAGCCCTCTTTGATCAGACCTCACAGACAGAATTTCCCACTGACCCGAGTAGCCACAGAATCGGCTCTGTTTTAGCTCAGCATCGACATACACGTGGACTGCGTCATCGCCTTTTGTGATTGAATAGAAGAACTATTTAATTATCGAAAGGCAGTGTCTTCCTCTTGTTTAGGCTGTCCTAAATTTGGCCTGTACCTGTTAAACCACAGTTTTATTGTTGCAACTGATCATCATGCACACTGCTGGCTTTCTTTGCTTAATGACATCATGGGCCATCTTGATTGTTGATCACTCCGCCTCCAAAAATACGCCTTCTCAGTCATTTACAAATTTGGTCACATCCATCAAGATGCTGACTGCCTGTCATGGTATCCAGTGCATTGACCAGACGTCCCAGAGAGAGCCATTGAGGCTTGTGTCTTATTGGTATCAGACTTTCTCGATATAGCTTATGAGCAACGCCGCAACTAGACTTTACGTTTCACCATAGAAAGTGCGAAGAAGGGTGACGAGCAGCCACGCAAAAATTTCAAACTGGCTGAAAAAGTTGTTCAAAACCCAGTAACTTCACTATTACAGCACGTATTCACGAAATTCTTGTGGCAGCATGTTCGCATTGCAAAAGTGTACATACTATGTCTCTTCACCAAAATTTTTGGACCTTGGGGGTTGTTTACTGGCCCTTCAAAAAATATAAAAAAAGGGAGTTATTGTTATCTCTGTTCTGGCCGCGCACTAGTGTACAGCCTTATGATGCGTAATGTGATATAAAGAGGCTGTTGAATCAACACGGGGATTCTTTTAGGCAGTGATATTCGAGTGGCATCATAGGCCTGAACACTAGGGCTTGGCCAGAATAGAAATAACGATGGGTATAAAAATATCAATGAGGCTTTAAAATTACCTTTCTGTCCATCACTGTTTATTACAAAAACAATTGGATACTTAAAATTGGCACTCAAAAATTCGTAAGTTGTGAGAACATGTGTCTCACACTGTCGCACATGGTGTGGGGTGCAGGTTCTGCAGCGCCCAATGGATCGTGAGCTGGAACTGCTTGTCTCTGAGGACTCTGGAGGCGGTGTAGGGGGGGCTCCAACAGCAGTGGGCCGGGTCCAGCTAGACTCCCTGAGCAGCCAGCCGGTGGAGCAAGAGCTCAAGGCCACTGGGCAGCACGGTGAGCGCTGCACAGTCAAGTAGAATCTCGATACGTTTTTCTGTGGAACTAGAAAGTAAAATGTACTGTGTGAGAATTGTACTAACAACGAGGTTAAAAAAATTGTGGGAAATATGCATACTTTGTTAGCAACTCACTTTTATTGAGCAACATTTATGTACTTGCTCAAGTTCTGCTGCACTTCTGTCTTTTCGCAAAAACATAGCCTGGGAGCGATCTTTGTGCCACAAAACCTATGTTGATTGATATTGATAAGTCGGGTTTACCGTCCCAAAACCACAATATGATTATGAGAGATGTCATAGTGGAGGGCTCTGGAAATTTCGACCACCAAGGGTTCTTTAAAGTGCGCCCAAATCTGAGCACACGGCCCTACAGCGTTTCGGCCTTCATCGGAAATGCAGCCGCCGCAGCCAGGATTTGATCCCGCGACCTGCACGTCAGCAGTAGAGTACCTTAGCCACTAGACCACCCCGGCGGGGCCAAACCGATGTTACTGTGGCCTCAGTGGCTCCGCAACATGCAAATCATGAATCGCAGAACATGGTTAGAGCTAGTGTAGTGAAGAATAAAAGTTAAGATTTCAAAATACACTGGTTATACAATTTGACAGTCTTGGTGGAAATACCAGGAAAGATGATGAGCATTCTTCCTGTGATTGTCTCTTTTCTTTTTGTATCAACTTGCCCAAGTAGCCACCCTAATGGGCTTTGAAAGTGTTCTTCAATCATGGACTTTAAAAGTGTTCTTCAATATTAGTGAATGATATGGTGAGTGACGGTGAATTCTGAATCTCAAGTACCTGCTTGAATTCTCAGGTGTGGGTATCATGCCTTAGCTATCTGCCCTGTCGCACTACCGTGCTTGTTGCCTGGTCGTACACGTGTGTCACATCATCTATACACACTCTGTCAACAGATATATTAAAAATTTTTTTCTTGTCTTGGCGAATTGGATAAGCTGTTTTCTTGCCTTTTGCGTGGCAGGAGAGAAGTCTTCCCAAATAGAAAACTCAGGCTCTTTAAGCTTTCTTGCAGTGGACAAGATGCGCTCTTTATCCTTATGAAGGTAATTTTCGCAATGATAGGCCTCTTTTTGCTGGGAGTTCAATATAGGTGGCTTCAACTATACATAAGAGTATTGCTCAGCTACATAAGAATCTGTCGCCCAGCCATTATTCCATTGTGAATGAGAGGTCCATATGGATCCTGAAAGGTCATTCTTTATTTGCTTTGACATTGTCAGTGGCCTGTTTTTTTTTCAACACACAAGAGTGTTACGGTTTGAATACGTTCGAGCACCGATGAGTGGGTGCCTCTGGAAATGCTTGTCAGTGAGTTTCAGCTATTGTTTGGTCAGTGAGTTCCAGCCAAGCAAGCATCCAGCCATCTCACCGAACTGTAATTTGTGACTGCGCAGATGCGGAGCGGTCAGCCACGGATGAGGAATCGTCATCGTCGTCCAATGAAGAGGCGAGTGACAGTGAGGCAGCGGGTGATGAACCGCACAATGAAGAGGCCCTGCTGCGCTGTCGTCGGCGATCATCGCAAATGCGCAAGGTGCAGACAGGCATGGCCTCATTGTCAGGTCGCTTATTTGGTCACAGGACAGACGCCATGACCTCTCACGTCAATGCGTACGTCAGTGGGCACAAAAGTGTCACAGTGCCAGAGAATAGGTGAATTTGTATGCCGCTTAATAAGGGTAGAAAAGACGTGCTCTTGTTGCGGTCCCCCAGAAGAAAAAGGTATCGTTTTTCAGTCCGTCAGAGGACGAGCGATGTCGGCAAATTTCTTTACAAAGCGATGAAAATAGGAGCACAAGCCCATGAAACTGCGGACACCTTTTGTCGACATAGGTATTGGAAAATTTCGCACAGCGCGAGCTTTTCCTGAATCAGGTTGGATTGCTTCAGCGTCTACGAGATGTCCGAGCACGGTAATTTCGCGGTGACCAAAGTGGCATTTAGATGAATTCAGCTGAAGGCCAGCAGAGTGAAACACTGAGAGGACAGTTTTGAAGCGTTCTAGGTGACACTCAAATGCCTACAAAAACACTATAGTCGTCGAGGTAGCAAAGGCACGTTGACCATATAAAGCCACGCAAGAGAGAGACCATCATGCGCTTGCATGTAGCTGGTGCATTGCGCAACCCGAAGGGCATCGCTTTGAATTGGTACCAACCATCTGGGGTGACAAAAGTGGTTTTTTCACGGTCCATCTCATCAACCCTGATCTGCCAATAGCCTGAATGGAGATCAATTAAAGAAAAAAAAATTGGCAGATCCCACGTACAGTGGGAATCGATGATACGCGAAGCAGGAATGAGAAATGTTGATATATCACTTTAAAATCAGCACAACGCTACGAGGTCAAGGTCAATGATGCCGTACATGACTTCCGTGTCATGATTATCATGTTTGGATGTGTCGTTTACCTTCCTCATCTATTCACGTCACGTGGTACCAAATTTACTATATGTGGAGCTAGCGAAACGGTCGCAATCTCGCTATGAGCATGGTATGTTGTCATGTTGTTACATGACACGCGTGTCGGGAATATCACGTTTGCACCAGTCATATATTTCGTCATCTATTGACGTCGCGTAACACCAAATTTGGTATGTGTGGAGCTAGCAAAATGGCTGCCAGCACATCATGAAGGGCCCAATATACTCTAATGTAGCGATGACGCGCTCGCTCGCTGGGCGCAGCGACGCTACGTTAGCGAAACGCGAGCACTCTACAGTCTGATGCCAGGCGCGACTAGCGTCTGTTGGCCCGGCCCCACGGCAACTAGAGCGAAATGTGACATGCTGTATTTTGTAAAGATGCGTTACCCAAACAACACTGCGTCTCCCTCTTTTTGTGATGGAGGGACGCCGGACGCACTGAAACCCGCATGCGTCAAAGCAACGCAGCGCGGCACGCGCCTGCGAGTATATGGCAGGACCGGCGCCTGGCGTGACAATGCTGGCGTGACCCGACAAATTGAACGCCGGCGAGCACGTGCACGCCGTCACGTCGAAATGCACTGACACCTTGACTGTGGCATGTAGTCATGTTCTCACATGACACGCATCTCATGATTATCATGTTTGCACCAGTCACATATCTTTGTCATGCATTAGCATCACGTAATACCAAATTTGGCATATGCGAAGCTAGCGAAGCGGCCGCAAGCGCATCATCAGTGTGGCATGTAGTCATGTTATTACATGACATGCATGTCGTGATTATCATGTTTAGATGTGTCATTTAGTTATGTTGTCCGTTCGCGTCGCGTAATACCAAGTTTGGTACTTGTGAAGCTAGAGAACTGGCCGCCAGCGAATCATGAGCGTAGAATGTAGTCATGTTGTTACATGACTTAATGTTTGTCATGTTTGCGCCAGTATCATACCTTCGTCATCCATTCACGTCCCCTAATACCAAATTTGCTAGCGAAACAGCCGCCAGCGCATCATAAGCGTGGCATGTAGTCATGTCGTTACATGACACGCATCTCATGATTATCAAGTTCGCACCAGTCACATGCCTTCGTCATCACGTACTGTAATACCAAATTTGGTATATGTTACGCTATAGCGAAACGGCCGCGAGCGCATCAAGAGCATGGCATGTAGTCGTGTTGTTACATGAGACGCATGTCATGATTTTCATGTTAGGATATGTCGCTTGTGTTCGCTATGCAATCATGCCATACCATACCAGTTTTGCAACATGCCTTGTGAATGAAACCACCGCAAGAGCTCCAGGACCATGAAATGTAGATCATGACAATCATGACATATCATAGTTTTCATGGTATGAATAGTCAAATATGTTCTTCACACAGTCATGTTATGCCATACCAAGTTCGGTATCGATACCATTATCGAAACGGCCAGGAGAGCTAAAAGTGGTGGGCGGACAGACAGACAGACAGTCACTCACTCACTCACTCACTCACTCACTCACTCACTCAAGTCGCCGAAGTTCGCTAAGAAATGCTTTGCATTCAAGTAGTTGGATACATGAAAGCAGTCCAGGGTGTCATCTATGCGGGGCAGTGGATACACATCTTTTTTTGTTATACTGTTGAGGTGACGGTAGTCGATGCAAAAGCGCCACAAGTTGTCTTTCTTCTTTACTACCCCCGAAACAGAGATGTCACTTGGCTTGCGCCTTCAACTTGACTTGTGTAAGTCGGCACAAAGCAAGCAGCGGACTTGAAAACACCGAAGTCAGCCTTCGAGTTTCATAGATGCTCAGGCTGTCTTGCTTGGTCAAGTCAAAAACGACCTTCAATGCAGAAATTCGTTGCTTGCCTGGCAATGAGGTTAATAATGAAGTTATTTACGTGATGCACGTGTTATAGCAAAAAAAGATTGTACATTTCAAAATAACTATAAGAACAATGTGCCTCAAGCATACTTTCTGCCATTTTAGGGCTAACAAATGGCACATGGTGCCCGTTTTCCGCAGCAATGCGCAGTGTTGCTTCTGTAAAGCGTCCATTGCCCACTGTTTTAGTAGCCACTCAAGTGCAGCACGTTTCTCCACGCTTGCTTGTTTGGAGGTGAAACAAGCATAGCTTTGGGTTCTTGCGTCGTTTTTCTTCTTTTTTTTTTTTATAGAACGCCACAGCGTGTATATATGCTGACCTGGCTTGTGAGGTAACGCAATTTTCAAGGTATTCTCCTTTCCATTCGCCTGTGGACATGCTTGTAGCGTCTAGGTCGCAATTATGTAGGAAAACAAGTTCTGGGCACAAAAGTGATTCGTATCCTTTTGCAGAGCTTGGTAAACAAGTGAAAAAGTGGGGGTCAGAACATTGCCCTCGGGGGAACTTTTTCTCGTGGGAGGCAGCAATGTCTTCAGCATGATAATGAAGGGGGAGGCACATGGTCATAAATGCCATGATAGGAGCGCCTCTTCTTTTTTGGGAGGGGGGGAATTTTTCGTAGCGTAGTGCTGCAAATGATGCCTGTCTGAGCGAGAACCAGTGCCCTAGAGGGGATGAAAGGATAGACGAGGCACACAGACACAGTGCTGAGTCAATTTTGTACCGAAAGAGATGGAAGCGACGGGAAATTTAGTCGTGTTCTAGAAAAGCAGAAATAGCCTTTGTGGTTACGGAACACTTCGGCATCGTCACAACCGAGGCTATTGATACGTACGTGTGTGCAGTCAACACATCCTGCAATGCCAGAAAGCTCGGCCACCTCCTAAAAATCCCGCATAACTTTACAAAGTGCCGCCCTACGGAAAGCACACCAGCATCTTGTACAGATGCTTTGCGATGGGCGTAACTTTTGCGACTGCACGGCACACTGTCGACTATGGAATCCAGATGAGATTCCCGGTGACTGTTTGGAAAGTGCCATCACCGTAATACCTGAGCGCCATCAGTAGCTGTAACATCGGAGGCACAGGCTGTCTTTGGTTGCCCCCTCTTTTATGGAGCAGCAATATAGCCAGCAGCTGCCGCACGGCCTTCTTCGTGAATCTGTATCGAGCGTGGAATTGTTGGTCGTACAACTCCATCAGATTTCCTCGATCACGTAAAGCGGTTCGATTAATCTTTGGCAGACAGTGCGCCTCAGAAAATGCTACGCTTATGATGTGGCAAGCAAACTCAAAAGCGACCAACCTCCGGGCGACATACATTTGAGAGATCACCATGTTGAAATAACGCATGAAGTCGCTTTCAAGTTAGCCCCGCAGCTGACTTGAAACTTGTCCCGACTTCGACTGAGCCAAGTCGCTTTCAAGTTGTCTGCAAGTTCGAGAACTTTTTATGGCGAGCGGCAAGTCTGTGTCAAGTCGAGAACGAGTCAAGTACGAATCAAGTAACATCTCTGCGTTGGGGGCTAGACTACCAGAGATGCCAAAGTACTACTAGAGGGCTCAATATAATGTGCTTGTCCATCATCTTGTCGACCTATTTTTGAATGACAGTTCTTTCCACAGAGGAGACGCGTTATGGTCTCCTACGAATTCGGCTTGCATCACCGGTGTTAATGCGATGAGTTACAACAGATGTCTGTCCAAGAGACCAGTCGTTCAGGTCAAACATATCCCAATAAGATGACAGCAGGTGACGAAGACTTGTTGCGTGATCCGCAGGAATATCAGGGGCAATCCTCCTACTAATGCTGTCCGCAGTTGACCAGGGTGAAGGTAATAGGCGTCAAAGGTGCGCTTGTACCAGGGAGAGATGCAGTGACCACAGAACAGATTTGACATTTATGCAAAAGAGCGAGATGTGCCATGGCCATGCCATGGAGAAGCACATGCGTAGAAAATCCAAAATTGACGACTGGTATTCACGCCTGATTCCTTTGCATGTGGACTTTGCTGCTTAGCAGGGCAATGTTGCACGTTAGATTCACATCGGTGAGCGGTGACACGACATAGTGGCCATTTGGTACGGGGGATAGCGCGTCAGGCGAACAGCTGTAGCAACTTGGGGGGACAGGCGAGCGAACTCAGCAGAACATAAACAAGGTGATGCACTAGTTGCGGCGTCGGCAGGGAAGAGCAGATTCAGTTGTACAACACCTTCTGAGCAGTCAA